AAATTACACAGAACCTCACTGTCTTTCATTGTATGAAAAAAAAAATAATAATAATAATTTTTTTTTTTCAAAATATCTTTTGCATTCCACATAAGAAAGTCATACAGGTTTGGAAGGACATGAGGGTGCGTAGACGATGACAGAATTTTCAATTTTATTATGTGAATTATCCCTTTAAGTAGTTTATGGGTGGTTAAAAAAATCTAATTTATGTGACTGACTTTTAATTTACAGTGATACAGCAAGTATCAACTGTAAAGCTTGTGGAAAAGCAGTAATACTTATTGGCAAATTTAGTCAATAGTTTGATTTGTAATAATTTGATTCTAAATATTATGAGAAACATGCAGTTAACTGGAAAATGAGCAGAACACCATGCTGATTAAGGTTGTTACTCAGGATGAATGTTGAAAATTATCTTTAGGCTACCATTTGCCATATATGATTTATTGTTATGTTATCTCAAATAGATTTTTGATTGCTGTTGCTTATTTGCAATCTCGACTAATTTTCTTTTAAACATCAGTTAAAATACATTTTTATGTTGAAGGCCATAGGCCTCTCCATTAGATAAGCCTGATGAGACCCAGGCTACGAAATTCAGCCAGGCTGTCCAGGTTTGATCATATCATCTCTTTTCTTCTAACCTGCCTGACAGCAGCTTTATTAAACGCACTGAGAAGTTGAACCTCACAGAGCTCACAGAAATAATCTCTCTCTTAAACAGAACTCAGTGAATGGTTTGGATGAGATATGGAGACAGAGGCAGATAATGAATTATTTAATACAAATTGACTGAGATAATTGACCGGGGGTCATGTCTATCTCAAGCTTTGTCCATTTATCTATGTATGTTTAAATAGGGTTATTCTGACCTACAGTAGCCTATATATAGCCTTTGACCATTAGCTGAGGTCAGGGTGTACTATCTAAACACTGAAGGAATTATACTTATAAGTTCATCTCAATTGACAGTACAAAAATAATTCTGTCCCTTGTTTTCTTAAAATAATAATAATAATAATAAATTAAAAAAGCAAAAATTGAGGTTACAGTGAGGCACTTACAAAGGAAATAAATGGGGCCAGTTTTTTGAGGATAGTAGAAATGTGAAGTGTATACATTTATAAAAGCACTTCAATTTGTCTGAAAAAACGTGGCTTATTACTTGAGCTGTGAATGTGTTCCTGTCATTTTTATGGTCGTTTAAAGGTTTTAAGTGTTTTTAAAGTAATTTTTAGTAAGTAATTTTTATCTTAAATTTTGTATTTGAAATTTGTTTTTACTTAAAAAAAAAATCAGTTGTTTTTAATAGAATACAACTGGCAGCTGTAGTTGCCAGAATAATTCTGTAAAAAAAGTAAAACTTGTAAACAATTTTACAGAACAACCTGTACATTTTACAGTTGAAAATAAATAAATAAATAAATCCAACAGCCCTTTTCAGGTTTTTACCATAGAATTTTTGGTCTTTTACTGTTAAAATTACAAGTAATTTTTACAGTGCACTAAAATCATGTTAACAAGCATAATGTTTATGTTTTGTGCCTACACTATAGAAATGGTGAGTATTTTAATGTTTACAAACTGGCCCCATTCACTTCCAATTTAAGTGACTCACGATAATCCAGATTTTTGCTATTTTTTAAAGAAAAGACATTATTTTTTATTTATTTCTTCTTCTTATTTTATTTATTTATGTATTTTTTGTGGTAAACAACAATATGCCTCAAGTGCTACTGCTTGAGCATAACTTGTACTCAACGGAATATTCGTTTACATGAGACTAGAGAAGAATGCTGTCAGTTATTTGTATTTGAAAATGTCAGCTCTTCTGTGATGCTCATGAGCTAGGTGTGTCAGGCGTGGGAGATATTGTTCCAGGAAGCACCAGAGATTCTAAGTGAGCCATAAATAATCTGTTCTGTTAAAACAACTCAGTTTGAATCTCTGCTGCTTCCTGTACATTTGAGATGAGAAATATCTCCCACGCTCTCCATCTCCTCACAGGAAGTTCATGGAGCTGCTGAAGAGGATGCAGGGAAACTACCATCTCCTATATCATGTTCATTAGATGACGTAAACATAATACACAGTGGGACTTATTAAAAATAACAATGTGCTTCTGTGCGGGTACATAAACACACACACTGATGGTCAATCCAACCATCACAAAGACTATAACAAAACCTTCAAAAGAAAAAATTCAGAACCTCTAACCATTTGCATCTCTCATAGGACAAGTCTGACTCACTTCGTTTCTGTCTCTGGAATCTCTAATTCCCGTCCAAAAAATCCAGCATCACACTCTGTGCCCATGCCATTGGAAATAATTATAACAGTACGTTATGTAAGAGTACGATGATTTAAACAAACACAACATACACCATGTTATGTCCACTTAAATCTTAAAGGATTATATTTCCTGTAGTTATAAAGGATCTCATATCGCAACATTGTTTAAGATCTGCACAGTACCCTACAACAACTTTATGAGTTACATTTACGTCATGTTTCCTTTTCAAGTGTTTACTTTTTAGTAATTTTGTTACATGCTTTCATCATTTTTATTCCTTTTTTTTTATATTACTTTTTAGGTTTATGTTTATATCAGTTTTCATTTTTATTGATTTCCAGGGCAGTCATTTTGTGCTTCATCCTAAACTTATTTCTGTTAGTTGCCAAGACAACATTTCTTATGTTGTTTTAAAAATGTTAAAGTGACAATGATGCTGAGCAAATCCAGCTGAGTGTTTGCAAATCATTTAGTAACACGTTGTGCATTCAAGGAAAAAACTTCAGAATCAGAATCACAAGCCGTGATTTGGCTTTTAGCTTGCAAACAATGAATTCAGCTTTCAGGGTATAGTGAATGTAATATAAATCAGCCCTAACAGAATATTTAAAACGCTCTCAAATAACTAATACACATCCACATGATCAAGTAAATACCGTAAGTCTATAACAAGACTGCTGGTGAGATGGAGAGACTGGGAATGCAATCTTAACATGACACAAGCCAGATTCAAACCTGCATTCCTGTGAGCACATGGACTACCCACTGTGCCACGACCACGACTCTGATCTAGAACAAAATTTTGATGCACATGGCATGTGTAGGAAATGTCATATAAACTAGCCCAAGTCTTTGAAGGCTCCAATCTTTAATAAAGTTCGCAGTCATTCGTCTCTTCAATGATCAAAGCTCCCTCACTATCGATGTGTGAATGCACCGGTTCATGAAGCGTGTAAAGCTGTATCTGTTTACAGCTCGAGCCGAGTCCTTCCCAGCTGAGGCTGGCTCTCGCTCTTGGCCTGTGCCTTTGAAAGATGAAGCCTGCCAAGATGCTTTAACGAACCGTAACGCGATTATGTAATCCACTGTCAGTGAGGAGCACTAGAACGATCTCCCATTTGTCTGGCAACCCTATGCGCTCTGCATGCTCAAGGAAACAAGGCTCCGAGGTAACTGTCCTAAAACATGTCCTATTAAGGACCAGAGCACGTTACTGGAACAGCAGATTTTGATTGCCCTGGAACAACAGTCCTTTCAGCACCATTAACTACCACTAAAATACACCGTCAAAAATGTGCACAACCTGTACTTTCAGCTCATCACTGGGACAGTAACCTAAAAAATAAATATGCACCCAGTAATAGGTGCATACTGGTAGCTTGGAATAGTATTATGCACCCTTAAAGTAATACCATGAACCCAAATAATGTACAAAATGACCCTTTTAAGGCTACTTCCCAAATGACAAGCTGCTGGGCTTTTTTTTTCTCCAGTGCAATAAGTAAATGATAAGTTGATAGTGTACATCCCTGAGATCTGATTGGTTGATGGGGAAATTGCTCCAGAAGAAACAAGGATGCTGATTCAGGTATGTGACCCAGAATGAAATCACTAATGGGCTGTAAAATCTCATAACTTAAGGGTGAAGGATTTTATGTGACCATGATGTTAACAACCCAGTTGGATACATTTAGTCGAGTCATGTATAATAATAATAATAATAAAAAAATCATACATCAAGCTCTGCACGCCAAACCGCTGTTGTGATTAACCTCATTAATTGCACTCAAGGAACACACATACACAAACACAAGTTGGCTTATTTCTAAAGGGAAGGACGACAAACATCACACACTTAGTGGGGCGTCATGTGAAACTAACTTACCGAATTTCCTGTCCGCGAATGCAGCGGCGAGCGCGTGGACAGACAGCAAGGCGAGGAGCAGCGCGCGCACAGAAGCCATCCTGCCCATCAAGCCCAAACAGCTCTCGTTAATTCGGCATAGCGGCTCTCACGTTTCAGGAGTGATGTGATTAGAGCGGAAGTAGGTCAGAGACGAATGAGATGGAGGATAGTGAGATGAGTGATGCTCTGCTACCCCGGGTCCTGTACTCAACTCTTAAGAGGCGCGAGGCGCGTTCAGCACCACGGTCAGCGCCCCGCCTCAGCTACTGACGTCACTAGCTACATGCGCTTTCTCGATGTGTTTTTAAGACTTCCGCAGTCAGTTGTATTTAGTTTGAAGCGATGGACCGCACTTCTCTTATCAGACAGAAGCGGTTGAGGAAGGGTAGGGTTATCTCCGTTGCTCTCGAGCGCAGTTATTTTGCTCAAAGATTGTGCCCCCTACCGAAACGCTGGTGTGATGTACTTGACAAACAATGCACTACAATAAATCACATGCCACATGTGTGGTGTATAAACAAGTCAAAGGTATGCTATAATCTAGCATGTCAAACAATCTCCATTCATACCCTCGAAATCAGAGAAATTGAAGATTACACCATGGACTTTTTTTTTTTTTGATTAATTAAAAGATGGGACAGAGTTTTAATTGGGCATTAATGGAAATGTATTATTGGGTTATGTGAAGAAAAGCAGACATCAAAAAAGAGAAAAAGAGTATAATAGTGTATCAGTAGAAGTCACAATCCACCCAAACATTTAGTTTCAAGTTCAATCAAGCTCAGGTTTAAGCAACAGTTTCTTCAAAATCAGATTTAATCTAATGTGCTTTTTCTTTATTTCACACCATGATTACAGACTGTGACACTGTAAAGACCTCAGATTAGAAAAAAAATCAATCACATATACATATCTCAGAGTTTACATTTAGAAATTACTTGTCTGTACACTTCTATGGTTTAATAGGGAAAGTAGAAGTATAACAACACATCTCAGACCAGTATTTGGAATGGATCTGAGGATAAAGCAGAAAAGGTCAATAGAAGGGACATATTTCATCAAAGACACCTTAAACCTTAAAAGTATCATCTTAAGATATATCAGATTCACTGAAATGTCTTCAAAATAGAAGATTTTTAGTAGATTGATAAGATTATAAACTAGAGTTATATGCAATGGAAACACTGTTGCATTTGAAAGTGTACAAAAGAAAATGAATAGTGATCCTAGTGAACCAAGATGACGTTTTATGGAAGTTTTGTTTATATAGTGAATGTTCTTGTATATAGAGAGTGGAAAATAAAAACATGACAGACAGTATACAGCTGAGAGAACAAAATAAGGAATAAAGAATTTTGTGGGAATATGCATAAACTCTAAATTATTAGCTTGCCAATTTAACTGTTTGGTTGTTGGCATGGATTTAGGATATCATTCAGCATCCTGACAGTGGATTCATAGATGGACCTAAGATTGAGAGAGAGACCAAAACAACATTAACAGTTGTACAGCTATCATTGTAAATAGGACTCCGAGAGCATGCTTTCACAATATGACATCTAAATCTTTTACCTCTGTATATTGTCAGAGTTTTCTGCAGTGATGTTGTAATGGCTCTGTATTTGTCTGCGTACAGACAAAGCAATTTCCTTCAACTCCACAATAAATGCATCAGCTGTAAGGAACAGAGCAGAAAGGTAAAAACAATCATGTACTCGTAGGATTTTATCAAAGAAACAAATGAAACTCAGTCTCATTTTATACTTTATATCACTCAAGTTTCTTCACCAAGTCCAACACCACTGGACTAGTTATATGCTTTAGGCTGTGTGAAATTAACTGGGATTGCAAATCTTTGAGAATGTGTTCAAAAGAATATTGTATAAACTTCTCAAATTTTTACTATCAAGCACCCAGGTGTTGGAACCAAGTAAAGGCCTGTTCACACAAAGGATGATAACTATGAAATTTTAAGAATTGTTAACATTTTGTGAGAATAGGGAAGGCCACACCACAACTACAATGATAACAACACAGAGGAACAAATCATTGGAATCACTTTCAGATAAAAATTTTTTTCCAACTGATGAATGATAATCAGAATCCTTTAAAGAGCTTGAGCATTTAAAGTGGCAGATGACATATCCATTGGTGCAGATGCTAATATAGTTCTAATCATCTTTACATAGTGCTGGGCGGTATGACCAAAAATTTATATCACGGTATTTTTCTAAATTATACTGGTTTCACGGTACATGACAGTATTTTTTTTTTTACGCATGACCGGGTGTTGACCATATTTTCTACTGATTGAGAGAGGAAATACTGCAGTATATTGACTTAGAATGCCCTATTTTACTGTCATGATGAAAAGGGACCCCTTTCAAACAGTGTCGCGTTCCGAACGTTGTTTAAGCGACATACACCGGTATTGCGGTATTTTAAAAATTCAGATCATAACAAAAATAAACACCGGTATTCGATATGAACCGGTATACTGCCCAGCACTATCTTTACAGTTATCTTTCTTGGTGTGAATGGGCCTTAACATTAGCACAAAATGAGTAACAAAAACTCACATTGTTTGATGATGGTCAGAATGTGTGTAACTGCAGCCCATTGTGTGATACTATCGATGACCTCTGACTCAATGGAGGAGCTTATTTCAGACAGAAAAAACCTACAACATACCAGAAAATGAATCAGAAGTGTTCAATAGTATAAACAAAGGCTTTTAGTTCTAGCTGTTGTTTAATGTTACCTGGTAACAGCAGGTGATTTGAGCGTCACTTTGAGTATGGTGTTCGAGAGAGGTGGAAGGTCATTAACCGTCTCTGGGGTCAACACCTCTTCCACATGAGAGATCTGCATGAAGAAACATCAAATTGTTGCTTTCTACAGTACATTTATTCTTCCATGCCTCAGTGTCTCAATTCGTTTCTTTTATACATTAACTTATTTTTATACATGGCTTTAGCCAACTTTCCCGCATTGCTTATGGTTTAATTTTGTCTCAAGAACAAAATATTTCTTATTTATATCACTCATTCAAAAAAGACATCAGAGTAAAAAGAAATGCTTTGAGCTCAACAAATGTTTCAATTAAACAGATAAAGGAGCAATGCCACACAAACATCACAAAACATAAAAAAAAACTAAAATTAGCGGATTTACCTTCTGCAAAGTGCGGCTGATATCAATAATAACTGCTGCACAGAGTGATGAGAAGACTCCTGTGATGAACTCTGACCTCTCAGTTGTAAACTTAGTCACCAGCAAGAAGTCATAAAGAGCTTCTTCAGAAGAGCAACACAGCTAAAGATACATAAAGAAAGGCTTTTTTAAAAGAAAGAGTCCGAAAGAAATGATGTCAGGTAGAAATTTCAGTCAAAGTTTTACAATACTAAATTGAGTTTAAATATGTACATGTGCACACAGGTTTGTTAAACACATTCAGAATCATCCAGAAATGGAATGGAAGTGTACTTAAAGAAGGCCCTAATGTCTCTTTTCAAAGGCCTCACCTCCTGACCCTCTTCCTTGTCTTTACGTAGTCTATGCGCTATGATCTCCACAACTTTCTGGAAGATGTTGGTCAAAATGCGGATAGTGAGGGACGATTGATCTTCCTGTGTCTCAGCCTTATGGGAAAGGCAGCCCTGTGCCACCTCAGTAAGCAGAGCGAGCACATGAGGGGTGCACATGTATCCTTTCTCTAAATGAACCCCACATACACACACACAATTGTATTAAAAGCACTACTCTATACAATGCTGTGACGTCAAAACCCAGAAGACTAATTCACCTAGGGGTCCCTTGAGATTTTCCTATGGGTTTATATAATGGGTTTTTCAATTTATAAATAAAACTCATTAGGCTAACCGAGACTTGTCATTTGCACTTATATATTTGTTGCTCTTTTGTTAGTTTTGACTGTTTTTATTGTCCTCATTTGTAAGTCGCTTTGGATAAAAGCGTCTGCTAAATGAATATATGTAAATGTAAAACAAAGTCTGTGGTAAATATAAATTGACAATACTTGAACGTTTTGCTCTACAATGTAAATTACACATAGCCATACTAAAAGTGCAAATTTTAAAGCAGTTATGTTAATTTTAGTGCTGGGCAACAATTACATTTTTTTTAATCGCATGATTTTTCTGCAATTACTCGCGATTAATCGCATTGTTATGCACAAAATTCAATAATGAATTCAAAGGTAGTGTATTCCTCACTTTTATTTTAAAAGTACTGCTGTATGAACAAAAGTGCAATAACATTTGTTTGGAAACACAATATATATATATATATATACACCTACGCAGACTCCAGATCGTATTTCACATCACTATATCCTTGCCAGGATGCCAGAAATGGTATGTGAAATATAGATACAAGATAATTGAGGATATGTTTTACACGACTATACATACAGCTACAAATCTTTTATCCTTGTCGTTCATAACTGGACTTTTCAGTGTATTAACTTTGTAGCCTACAGCACAACAAAGTAGGACATAGCAATAAATACAACTATAAACAGAATTAAACCGGACAGAACATAAACATTTAGCCAACTTAGCCATGTTAGAACACAAATAATCAAGACAAACAACGTTTTGGAAACACATTAAACAAGTAAGGTGCTTTTTTTACAGCAGTATTCCCTTTACATAGTAGCAGTTAAAATATTTTTTTGTAAATCTCAACTTAAACATTAATGTACTCAAATTAAAATCTCCTTTTCATACAACTTGTGTATTCTTTTTGTGATGGTGCGTCTTGAGGGAGGCTCATACGTGCCATCATTCTTTGCGATCCTAAGAACGTTCGCCTGTTTTTGACGGACGCCGCGTCCAAGCCGGACAGTAGATACAAAATAAAAGTAACAAAATCCTGTCAATTAAAAATCACCGCTCGCGTCCGGTGTAGACACGGTGTTAGGCCCAAATGCTCTCATTGGTTGAGACGCATTATGACACCCATCCCAAACCAGTATTGATCAACATCCCACCACTCCTGTGATGACCCATGGTTTGTCTGTATGTGTATTCAGAGCCAGTGAGCAACAGACTTTCAAAATAATAATATTAATAAAAAAATTAAAAACTGTGTTAATGCGCGATAAAATAATTGTTGGCGTTAATTAATTAATGCATTAATGCGATAACGCGTTAACTTGCCCAGCCCTAGTTGTTAAAAAATAAATAAAAAATACAAAGTTTTATAATGTTTATAATGGGTAACTACACAAGAACATCTGGGTGTGAGTGTGTGCAGTTCAAGTTATGCTTAGTTACCACAGACCTTATTTTACACAAGAATTGAAAAACCCATAAGAAAAATCTCAGGCAAACCCATGGAGAGTCCTCTGGGTTTTGGCATCAAAGCTGCAGCACTCTTTTGTAAACCTTTGTGGGAAGGTGGTCAAACATTGTATTTTGACTAAACACAACTCATACAATCACTGGGCCCTAGCTCAGTATAAATACTTAATCCTCACCTGTCTGCAGTACAGAGGCAACATGCTGCAGTAAATGGTCTCTGAAATCACCGTCTCCTACAGAAACCCGCAGCACATTCTTGCACACTGTTAAACAACTCTGACAATGATACAGAAAGGGAAAGAAATTATATACATACAATACAAAATATTGTGTGTCTGCACAACTCATTGTGTAATTGTATTAGTTTTAGGATTAGGTCTCATGTGTTGTCTATCATTTTCAACAAGGAAACACTCTTTTTAATATATAATGTTGTATAAAGCCTTCAAATGTTTTGCATGAACACTAAAAGTTTGTTGGGAAGATTTTTTTTTATTGTTTTTGAAGTCTCTTATGCTCCCCAAGGCTGGATTTATTTGATCAAAAATAAAATAAAAAAGGTAATATTGTGAAATATTATGACAATTCAAATTGACAAATTGCCAACAATAAAAAATAAATAAACCTTTCACACTGATCATTCCACTCACTTCTATGGTCTTCCTGCTTAAGGACAACTGTTGCTCACTGCTGGAGTTGGCCAGAAAAGGAAGGACTCTTTTCTCTACCCAGGACACAGAATGCTCCAGGGATTTGAGGAACCCCTGCTCCTCTGGGAACTGTAGGATCAGAAAGAAGTGCTGATTATGAGTTTTATTTGTTCAATCTGAAAGTGAGCTTACAGACCATTCAGGCAACTACTGCTTGATCTGCAGATAACAAAATCCAAGTCATGTCCAATGAAAACCATTTGCACAGTTCAGCATAGGACAGATGGAAGACGTCAATACTGTATTATAAGTTTGAGATTCGGAGACCTACTTTAACTGCTGAAATAAATTGTCGTCACCTCAGTGCTTGAGAATGTACAGGTTAAGTACTAACGGACAACTTATTTTCTTTAAAACTCTCTTCACATCTTAACATCGCTTGAGTGAGTGTGTTCAGTGAATGTTGGCTTTGTTTGGAGTGTGAAGGACTCAAAGAGTGAATGCAGTGTGGTTACTGCAGTACACTCACTTTGTATTGAAGATGGATACTGAGTCGACCATGGAAGATAAAAGCTCTCAGCGCTGTCTCAATGAATTCCACTCTGACCTCTTCTCCGCTCAGGGAGGAAAACAACAGCGACTGCACACAAACAAAAGCGAAATGACAATAGTTCCAAAAAGATAGTACAGTTCAGAGCTAAGCATAAAAATAACTTTAAAACTTTTCAGCCAGAAAACATATCCACTTTTCCAGATCATAAACAGGGCTTGAATTTCAGCGCAGGATTACGCATAATTCTACTGATTCCCGCAGTTTCTGCAAATATTTCAGTGTGAAAGACGCTCAGGACAGGTGACGGAATGTATCATTTGCACATGCTTTTGACTCTTACAATTTTAAACATTCACGTGCTCAATTCAGTACTTGCGCGGTCTCTGTGAGACCCCTTTCTGTAAGCTCACACCCAAAGCGCGCATACACAGTGCCGCATCTGAGAGAGCGCGACTACAGAATGAAGTTGTGTTGCACCTTACTGCGCGTAAACGGCCAAATACATACAAAATTATGTCAAAATGCCCGTCTTGATGTGTATTCACGTAAACAGTCGATTTATACTAAACATTGTCGGTATATAGGCTATTAAGTTAAAGTAAACAGTTGAGAAACATGTCGGTATATAGGCTATTAAGTTAAAGTAAACAGTTGAGAAACAAAACTTATGTGTAACAGATCCGTGCATGAGGTCTTAAAGAGACAGCAACCTAAATAAACTTGCTGCTGTCTGTCATTAATGTTTATTTATACATTGAAGACTAACCAGTGTTATTTTAATGTTAAACAGATTATTCCGTTTCTGTGGTATAGCTGTACCTGAATATTACTGTTATACCTACCTGAAAAACTTAAAAGTACAGTTCATTTTAGTTGCTTGTCATTTATCTATTCTTATTTTATTACTGACTGTTTACTTGTCTTTTTTAGTTAAAATAAATTCAATTCAGAGTTTGAAATCAAAGTTCTCTTTAAGTATCTTCCTCACAATATAAATATGAATCAACAACATTATAAATTGTAAAACACAAGTATACTGGGTATGAAATTCAGGCCCCGATAAAGGCAGAAAAAATGTAACATAATATCTGAAGACCTCAGTAAATACAACTTCCCTTGAACAAAACAATTATATAAGCTCATCACAGCTTTGACTAATATAATAAGGCCAAAAACATCATGTCATTTAGCTGAACAGCTTTGTGCAGCAGTATCTTCAAAGCAAGACTTGTGAAAACATGCAATTACCATGTTGATTTTGTAACTAATGACAGTAATATCACAAAAAGAGTACATTTGCACCAATTCTTTGTAATAGCAATCATCAAACTTCTGTACCTTCCATTTGTTGAGGGCCCTATGGAGTGGTCTGATCTGATCCAGCGGCAGTGTGAACAGACAGTCTCGTGTTTTAGGGTGCAGGAGCAGATAATCCAGATAGTCTAGGCCCAGATCTGATTTCGACTCTTCCAGCCCATCAAAATGCACTTTGCCAGTTATATCTTCATCACCTTGCTGACAAGTGAGTGATCATAGATGATATTAAAATACCATAAAAACCTAATGACCCCCCACATGGACATTTTATGTGACATTTACCGCTCTCACAGGTGCAGCCTCCACAAGCCAGTTCTCTATCAGCTCCACAATATGGCTGATCTGCCCCCAGCTACAGAGACACTCCACATACTGACTGTATGACATCACAGCGGTGCCCGCTTTCAAACTCCTCAAGTGAGACATCACTTTACTCCTGCAGAGAGGAAAACACAGTCATGCAATACACCCAGACTGCCCTACAGATCGCTCTAAAGCCTTGAAAACACACTCAATCCCACCAGCAATTAAGGATACCTATTGGATCAAATGGGAATCAGAATTGGCATTTCGCTTTTGAGCCAACCTGCTGTTCTGGGGAGATGGCTGAGGCACCATGCGGATTGTGCTAAACACTCAGCAGGAAAGAAGATTTTGAAATGCTCTTTTCTTCATTGAGCTGTCCTTTGCAGGAATAGCTCCACGAAAAATTACAATTCAGATTCATCTCATGTCAAGGGGGTGTTTTCATTTTTAGCTGCACCATTGGTTTAAAATGAGGCATTTAACAATATGAGCTGCACTGAGGGGTAGTTGAGGGGAGAGTCCTACTAACCTCAGAGCTGGAACAGCAGAGGCAGGAAGTAGAGAGGCTAGAAGAATGAGAGGGGCTTTACACCGCTCCTCCTGCGCACACACATATGCACAAAACTGCGTCATGTTGCAACCATATTGCACCAGCTTTAAAGATGTGACTACAGTGTTCAGTTTTGCTCTTTGAATCGTCCTTTGGTTCTCTGTGTGAATGTGCCTCTTACCTGAAAGATTTTAAGATACTGGGGCAGAACAGATGAGAACTTTGACGTGGTGTACTTGAAGGTCTCTTGGTTAGCCATGAGAGATTTCTGAACACTCTTCCATAGAATGACGAGGATCTCCAGCAGGCTGGCCATGGAGGCAGTGTCCTGCACTGAGAGAACATCCTCCAACATCTAGTGGCAATGACAAACATAAACAATATTATTATTTATAGCTGTTTTAAGTTCCCCATCGTTGCTCAGCAGTTTGTAGGATATTGTGGAAAACATTTAAGAGATTCAGTTTTTTTCTAACAAATAATTTCCACACAGACTTGGTGTTGTTTCAAAACAAATGGAAAATATATATCGGTATCGGCATTGGCTATCAGCCAAAATGAGTTGAAAAATACCGACATATCAGCAAAAATCTAATATCATGCATCCTTACTTTTAAACTTTCTATTTGTCAAAGAAACCTAAAAAAAAGTGTTTTTACAAAAAATAAGCAGCACAACCATCTACAATTTTAATAATAATATTTGTAATAATGTAATAATAATGGTAAGTTTCCTGAGCACCAAATCAACATATCAGGATGATCATGTGACACTGAAGACCAGAGTAATGACTGCTGAAAATTCTGCTTTGCCATCACAGAAATAAATTATATTAGAAAATAGTTATTTTATTTATTTAATAACATTTCTCAATATTACTGCTTTTACTGTAAATGCAGCCTTGGTTAGCATAAAGCCTAGTTCACACTACACGACTTAAAACGTCGGCAGATCGCTGTGCTGTTCAGACTACATGACTTACTGTCGGTCTTGATGTCGTTGTGGTGTTCACACTACGCGACACTACATAAATGATCTGCAACAGGGGGTGACACACTACACAAGCTGACAACAACTGTCAATCAACGACTCTATCCCGTCCCCAAACCACGTTTTGTCACAAAAACACAAGTTGAACGGGAATGACACAAAACAACAAGTTAAACAGGAGTTGTTACGTCGGGAAGAAATTAGTGCTGCAAGCTGTTTGCACGATGATCTGTTCTGAACAGATCCTTTTGTCCAAACTTTTCTTAAAAGGGGACATCGGATGCCCATTTTCCACAAGTTGGTATGATTTTTTAGGGTCTTCATGAAATGTCTGCAACACACTTTGGTTAAAATTCCTCAGTGGTCGTGTAAAACAACACCCCTTTTTACCTTGTCAAAAACAGCTCTGTTCAGTGACCCGTTTCTGTACATGTCTCTTTAAATGCTAATGAGCTCTGCTCACCCCTCTCTTCCATGGAAGAGGAAAGGCGATTTGCAAATAATCATAAACATATCAAGTGTGGGACTTACTTCTTCTGGAGGTGCAGCTGGATTACGAACAGTGGGTACTGATCCATCCTTGAGTTGTAACTTTTTAGCAAAACCTGCCTTGAATCGTCCCTCGTTCAGAAAGCAGTCTGGTGTAAAATGATTCGCGCAGACATTAACGAATTTAGGTAGATCGGGGGCGCATTCCCTTCAAAAACAAAAATAATCCACTGCATCTTCAGCGGCTCAGATGTCGGGAGTAAATGAGGACTGCTATGTTTATTCTTACATCCCACAACAGAACACCTCAATTGCTTAGGAGACATTCTTGTTACACCTTACACCTGCTGCGGCGTCGAAACAATGGTGGACCGTTTACAGCTCACTCACGGCGGGTCTATGCTAAAACGGCAGTGTCTGTCAACAGTTGTGGGAGGGTCCTGTGCAAAGTGACGTCACTTTGCCAAGTAACTGTGAACGGCTTGCTCTGAGAAAGTGCTTATGATTTAAAAACAAGTACTAGGTAGGGGTGTGCGATTTTGAAAAAAAAAAAAAAAACTCCCAATATTTTGGGGAATTTAAGTACTAGGTAGGGGTGTGCGATTTTGAAAAAAAAAAAAAATCTCTCAATATTTTTGGGATATTCTCGATAACGATAATTAGACGATATTTTGCCGAGCGTGTTATTGTGCGGATATCTGACGACCATGGACAGCTGCAGTTTTTGATATTCTTCATTCTGTGTGGTCAGCGAAGTTGCATCTGAAGTGGAATTTAGATGTATTTACACACTATTTAATTCAGCTCAGAGGGACATATAGTGCTTTAACTTGAAGTTACAAATGCATAATGTTTTGATATTTTAAACATAAAACATTTAATACTGATGTTTGAAATTATTTAAAAAATAAAAAGATACTTTAAATGTAAAATTAAAACCACCAGTAGGCGGCAGCAAGTCACTGTTAATAAGTGAGTCATTGGGGCTGAACTGAATCATTTAAACGGTTAATTCATTCAGGAACGAAACCCCGTCATGTTGCTCAGAGACGCAACTGTTCTGTGGTGGCTGTTTGGAATTATTTTTGATTGGCGAAATAGAGCAAAACAACAGGCGCTATGGTGTCTAAAACGTAAGTCTCTTAATATTAACTTATTGTTAATTGAACTTGTATAAAATCAGTATCACATTTGTAATCATGCTTATTTTTTAAGAAAAAAATGGCACTCGTGTGATTTTAACTATATGAAATGATATAAATATGTACATTTTCTGCCCCCATATCTTGAATTTTGTGATCTTTCTTAATGCATTTTAATAGACTGAATCATGCAGTGAAAGAACACTCTCTAAATGCACACGTGCACGGTTTAACCCACTAGACTTCATCACGTAATGTATGCGTGCAATCCATAGGTGTTTTGTTTGGTTTTTGCAAAATACTCGATAATGTCAAATTGCACATCGTTAAAACAACAATTAAGATATTATCGTAGACGATATATATCGCACACCCCTAGTACTGGGTGGATTTTTATCATTATAGGGTGGTTGTGTACACACACTGCCAACACATTTAAGTTCAAACACAATGTAAAAGTGAATTTAGCATCCGATGTCCCCTTTAAAGCCGTGTTGCTGCTGCTGTTTTTCTTCCGCTGACCTCAACCCATGCCTTGCTCTCTCATTGGCTGTAGTTCGTCGCGACACCTGATACCATGTGATGTTGAGTCGGCCGACCGGTCCAGATATTTAGCATGCTAGATATTTGTTTGGTGTTGATGAGGCAGTGACGCATCAGCGAGCCTCTTTGATGCGTCATTGAGTAGTTCACACATAAAGATTGCAGAGTGCTGATCACCCGCTGATTTTCCCCAGATCACATGCCGACCTGTTGGAGAGCTTGTTAACTTGTAAATCGGGCTTAAAATCCTGTAGTGAGAACTAGGCATAAGAGACATAAAAAAAATCTTACTGACCCCAAACTTTAAACAGTAGTGTATACTAAGTCTCACCGTGCTGTTTTCTTTATTGCTAGATGCAAACTCATTATCTCCTGCACTTTGAATGCACACATTCAGGCACTTTCGGATCACCAGCATCAGCTTGACTACAAGGAGAAAGCACTGTGAGTTTACGTTGACATTTCTGAGAATGACACATACTGTACTTCCAAATGTCAAAACTAAACCCTAGTAACTCAACACGCAATATAAAACAGAATTCATATTTAAGAAAGCTTTTGAGGGCATCTAAAGCAATCTAACCTATATTAGCAGGAGCCGTGTAGAGATAAGCATGCTGGTAAAACTTGCGAGCCGCCCCGGGGTTTGTCTGAATCAGAGTGACGCATCGTTCGCACCAGACAGTCTCTGATTGGTTGACTGGAAAGAATGAGTTGAACAGAAGACTGACAATTCGCTTGGAAACAGGAGGAGAGTCCATTTCCAATCGAGCCAGCAGGTGCTCCATGGAACAAACTTTCCAAAACTGTAGCATGACAAAGTGGGAAAAAATAGGCAAAAATGAGTACACTAATATTTATTAACATTTTTTAATTTTTGTGCTAACATTTTAACAGCAAATTTGGTGAGGTAACAAATAAATTGTTAAATAATGTTAATCTGTTACATCTTGGAAGGGCTCAGAATGTAATTTAAACATTTTTTTCCCCCATATACTTTCTAGAGCCGTCAACTCTCTACAGCTCTTGCAGTACTTTGATATCACACATATACAGTTGACTGATGATGAACATGATTCAGAGCAACAACTCACTGCGTGATGTAGCCTACAGAATGTAGTTATATGCCTCTAACATTCAAGAGATTGGGGCAAAAATGTCCCTGTATTTTTTGTCTCATATTTATATCATATGATATAGTTAAGCAATATCACACAAGGGCTGTTTTCAGCCCAAACAGCAAATGTGATATTGATTTTATACAACAGTTCAATAAATGAGAAATTAATATTGGTGTTATATTTTAGACACAATATTGTCTGTTTTTGCTCAGTTTCGCAAACAAACACAAATATTACCTATTAAAACCACAGCAGAACTGTTGTGCGTCTCCAAGCAAAACATAATTTCTGAATGAATCAGTGTTTTGAACGAATCGAGTGAATGAATGATTCAATGGCCCATTCATAAGAGAGCCATTTACTTCATAGAATGAATAAATGAATGACTCAATGACTTTCTTAATTAGAGTATAATTTAATTAACAAAAATAATTATTTCACATTTACATATTAATAAAATAAAATCGGAAAATAAAACAAAAATCCATATAAATAAAAAAACTAATTAAAAGGCATAGCTCACCCAAAAATTAATAATGGGGGGATGGGGGGGACTTTCTAAAGCTACTTTTTGTAATATCCATTTCATGCTTTTCTCATGGCTTTAAATAATCTTTTGTTAATTTTGTTAAATACAGGGGTTAAAGCAAAAAAAAAAAAAAAAAATCCTAAGCCTCAACTTTTTTCCGGGGGTTGGGGGGTTGCGGGGGCAGACACATACACAGGGTTATTTGGCAAAAATAAATAAATAAATAACATTATTTGAAAATGATTTTCCTTGAAACTAACTAGTAACATATCTGCCCTTGCCATTAGCCATTGACATGCTCAGACTACAGATTATGGTGGGCTATTTGAAACAGCAATAACAGGAAAGGTTACTTACTTTAATGCAAACACATGTAACATTTAGGATGCTTTTGATATCAAGTTTTGCTGGTTAGATTTGTCCTTGACAGGGTACAAGATGACCTACAATTTAAAACATCTAATTTCTGAAATTTTGTTCAAAATAAATAATAGTAAATTAAATACTAGGAAATTAATAGAAAATAGAAAATATACAAAGACAGTTTACTACAGAAAACTACAGTTCAGTTCAATTAACAACAACAAAA